TTTTTTAAGATAAATTTAAATATATATTAATTATTGTTTTTTATTTATATTATTTATTTATTTTATTAAATAGATCATTTTTTATTGAATATTATTTTTATTATAAAGATAAGCTTCTTAGCTATTTTTTAAATACTCATCAAATTCTTCCTACAATTTTTAATTTTATATTTTTTGTATTTAATCTACACTAGCTTCATTTGACTATACATTTTATAATTGCTTTCTTTTTTAGAGTTTTTTTTATTATATAAATCCAATATCTACTGATTATTATTATATATTATTTAATTTAAATTTTTTCCCATTTTATTTGTTTATTTCTTTACTTTTTTTATTTTGAAAAGAAATGCAACTTTATATATATTTTTTTTCTTTCTTTTATGTTATACTTAAACTATCTTCAAAACTTTCTTCTAAATTTATTTATAATAATTTAATTTAATCTTATTATTCTATTTGTTTAAATCCTTCTATATTTTTTATATGGGATTAATAGTTTTTTTATTTTATCATATTTTTATAACAAAATGAATGGTAAAATAATTTCAAAATTTTAATACAAACGGGATATTTTATTTTCTTTTAATTTATTATGTTTATTTGTCCTTTTAATATATTTTAATCACATTTTTGACATATCTGAAAATTATTTTATGCATAATTTATTAAATAGGTATTTTAAATTTCCATTTTTTTTTAAATAATTTTTAATATTAAAAATAATATGTATATTATATTAATTATAATTAATTTATTATTTTTTTAAAAATATATAATAATAAAAAAAAATATATTAAATATTATTAAAAAAAGGCAATTATTAAGATATAACAAATTTATAAAATTACATATTATATAAAAATAATTTTAAATGATATAAAAGCATAATATAATTATTATATCTTTTAATAATATTTAATTTACTATTTAATAATAAAAAATATAATAATATTATTATAATTTATTAAAAAATATATATTATTATATAAAGCTCATGTTTTGATAGAATTATTGATTAGTACCATAATTTTTTATATTTATTTTTATATTAAAATTTTATTTTTATAGGACAAAAAATTTATTATCGTATATTTTTAAAAAAAGGAATAAAAATATTATATTATATTATTAATTTTGTTTATGTGTACATATATATAAATATATATATTTATTTATATATATATTTATTTATATATATAATTATTTATTTTAAAAGAAAATTTAGTATTTAACTTATTTAATATATTAATTAAATAATATTTTTAAAATAATATATTATTTTTAATTAAATATATTTAATATTTATAAATAATAATTTTTTATGAAATAATTAATACCATTTTTTTATTTTTTATTTATTTAATATAAATGATGTTTCTTTTTTATCAATCTAATAAAACATAATATCATGTTTTCATTTTTTTTTGAAAAAAATATTTATAAATCTTTAATTAAATTATAAATAATAAAAATATTTTTGATTATCAAAGATATTTGTTAATAAATATATAATTATTATAATTTTTTATTTTTTTATTTTATAAAAAAAAAATTATTAATATTTTATTTTTGAACAAATATATATTAAATTTCTTTATTATTATATAGAATATAATAATATAAAAAAATGTAATATTTATAAAACAATTTAAATATTTATAAAACAATATATATATATATATATATATATATATATATATTTATAAATTTAAATTTAAATATTTTATTCAACTTATCAAAAATTCGTAATAATTAACTTTTTTTTAAAATTAGATTTTTTCAAAATATTTTTGCTTCATTAAAAAAAATTAATTCTTTAATATAAATTAAAATAAAAAATATAAATAAAATAATAATATTTAGTTTTTAATAATTATAATCATATAATTTATATAAATTACAGAAAATGGATTAATTAAAATTAGGTTATTGGAATGTTCCATATAAAGGTCAACCAATACGATATATTTTATAATTAGCAAAATATAAATATGAAGACTAGCAATATTCGTTTGAAGATTACAATTAATGGTTTTAAATATAAAAGTATACTTTAGGTTTACCTTTCCCTAACCTTCCATATATAATACATAAAGATTTAAAAATAACTGAATCTTAAAATTGTATGAATTATGTATTAGAAATTACTCATTTAGAGCATTTATAAGGACAGGGAAATCAAAAATATATAATTGGAAATATTAGATATTTAATAGATGAATTGATTTCTAAAGAATTTGAGGCAAATTATAAATAAGAAGAAGAAAAAACTAAAATTTTATAAGAAAAAATAATACCTAAAATGAAATATTTATAAGATTTTTTAGGAGAAAAGACATTTTTTTTGAATTTATTACTCTTATAGATGTTTATTTTTATGTTTTTGTAAATAATTTTAGAAAACATTTCCCTATATAATATACTTAATTTTAAAATTAATTCGAACCTATTCTTAAAAGATTTGAGGAAATTAAAGAAATAAAGGAATATCATTAAACTGAAAAATATAAACAATTCGTATTATGAATAAAATTAATATTTATTATTTTTACTATAATTTTACTTAAAATAAAATACTTATATTATTAAAAAAAAGAATATCTTTTAATTTTAAATATTAAGAAAAAATATTTTTATTTATTAAAAAATTATAAATTAAATAAAAAAAAAATTGATATTAATAGAATTTTACTTAAATTTTATTATATATATAAATTAAAATTGACTAATATATATATATATATATATATATATATATATTTATATAAATATATTTATATATTATTTTGAAAAATAAAAAATATTTAAAATTAAATGCAAAATACAAAACCTTGTTAATATTTTAAAATATTTGATTAATATTGGGCTGAATATTATAATAAATTTACATTTTAAAAAGAAAAAAGCATATTATTTTTTAAAGATTTATTAAAATAAAAACCTAAAATAATATACTAATCTTGCTCAATATGTTACCAATAACATACTTGTATAGGAAAATTACCCTGTAGTCATTTTTTTTGTTTCCCATGTATAAAAAAATGTTCTTAAAATTCAAATAAGTGTCCTCTATGTAGGGCAGAATATTAAGAAATTTAAAGAATAGATAGTAGTTATAACATTAAGAAAATTTAAATTTCAAACAAAAAAGTGAAAAAATAGGTAAACTATTTTGAGTTTGAAGAAAATTAAATAGATGAATGCTGTTATATTTGTGAAACAGACCAAGACAAATAATTATTGATAATTTGTGATTGTTGTAACATAAGAGTATGTCATACTTATTGTGATGAGTAATTAATTGATTTATAAATTCCAAGACATGATTGGTTTTGTCATGAATGTAGATAATAATTAAGATAATGAAATGTAAAAATGTGTCAAAATTTATAAAATTACTAATATATTTTATTTATTTTATATATATAATAAATACATTTATAATATAT